TTTTTTTTTTTGGTTGTTACGCCATTAATTTCTGGTTTTTGATTAGTTCAATTATTTCTAATCACCATGTTGATTATGTTTTATAAACCTTGTTGCAAGTTTAGAAGGTTTAGGTTACATTCTTTTCTATAAAATCGGGGCTTCTTTGACAAGATGGTAAACTGAGGGCACAGAAACTGAGCTTCAGGTTATTTCTTGTTGTGTTCAATGTAGAATAAATACGGTAGGGTAATTTTGGATCTCTAGTTCGGAGTATTATTCTTATTGAGGGCACATTCAACTGAGCTTAGTTTTTATTTATTGTTGTGTTTAGAGCTTAGTTTTTATTTGTTGTTGTGTTTAAAGTAGAACAAATATGATTGGGTAATTTTAGATCTCTAATTTTGAGTATTATTTTTGCATGTGAAGAGTGTCATACCACATTGTAGACGGTTTCTTGTCTGTCATAAATGTAGATTTTGGCCTCATGAAAATGAGGCCGCTTTTGTGAATGTTTTGTTGGAAGAAGTTCTGCTGGAAAACTGTGGAATCGGTAAGTTCACACCCAATTAATGGGCGACCATTTTTGGAAAGTTCACACAACAGTGTCCTACATTCTATCCTTATGAAATGAAACAGTTGCACACTAAGTAACCACGAATGGAAGTCTATTGGAGAAGCTTTCACAACATGTTTACCAAAGAAACCGGATTTTGTTGGGATTCAAACAAAAAAAATGATTACGCGAGCAATTGTAACGCCCCGAACCTTTTTATTATATATGAGCTCGACTTTAGTTCCAGAAATAGCAAGTTTTATTTATTCCACGTTCTATTTATTTTTCAAGCATTAAATTGATTTATAAATCCTAAGTCTAAGCCAAGGAGGATCCGTTTGATTTTATTCCGAAATCGAAATTATTTAGCCTAAGTATCGGTTCATTTTTCTTTAGAAAACATGGTCGTGAACTTGGCCATTTATTAACCAAAATCGAGCATTAGAAAAATCGAGAAATTTTTTATAAGGGCTGAAGTAGGGTCAAGCCGAGACCTCATCCCAAACACGAGAGCCACTTGGCCCAAGGTGCCGAGCCCCACGCCTCGCACGACCCTAAGCCAACTCACGCGCGTGTACTAGCTCATGGCTACGCTTTAGCCCAACTTAATCCCGAGCCCAACTCGTGTGCAAATGAGGCTCAAGTCCCTCTTTAGTACATTAGCCCAAATCATGTGACATTAGGGTTTTGATCTTAGTCTTCAAGATTCAAATTCAAATGTGCATTTAATGCTCAACTACGAAGTATGTACTTTAGGGGACAAGAGTAGAAAAATCTAAATTTTTTCCAATAACCTTGTCCCCAAACCCTAGCTCCATATAAGGACCATACCACCCATTAGTCTTTATTTTCCACTTCCACGTTTTCAAGAAAGAAACTCTCAAAATACTTTAAGTCCCAATGTCCTACCTCATAAAATTCCTAACAAATAAAATTTCCCCCTATTTTCTACAAATTGTACCCTAAATGTCGAATTCGGGGGGGAATTTTGGCATAAACCGGCTTACAAATAATAGATTCTTGTAATATATGGTGATTAGGGGTTATGATGGGCTTGGAGTTATAATGTCATTGGAATGTATGTGTGCGTTTTATAACTGTTTGTTCTGTTGTGGTCGGCATATTTAAGGAGGTTTCTACTTAATGTTTTTATGTTTGATTGTTAAGTGGTCATGGATTGTCATACCCAAATATATTATGTGTCCAATTGTTCAATGACATCAATATATTTTCAATGTTGCATACTTATTTCTACATTTGTTTGTGAAAACATGTGATATATTTGGTATGAAGATAACGGGGTTTGAGGGGAGGATATAAAAGATGGGCAAAGTATTCGAGATTGCTAGTGTTAGAAGTCACAATGTCTTTTTGTTTTCTCTTTACGACTAAAAATGACAAATTTCTTTGGAATAATATACCTCTTTGGGTTCACCTTATTATATTTGAACAAAAATGGTGGGATGACTAGCTTCATAACAATGTCTTCTTTCGAAATGAAAGTCAAAATTCTTGAACTTTCATCACTTTTTTCAGTAAAGGTCGTTCAAAAAATGTATTTCCTTTTACAAAAAAGGGAATGATTTTACAGGTTATAGGAGATGCCGACGCCGTTTCAAATAATTTTTAAGATCATTTTTCATCCGGGCAAAGAACTATGGTAACGTATTGTCAAACTGAAGAAAATGGGTTGTAGATTTAGTTGTAAGTGAATATTACTGTACCTAAATTTTATTTTCTTCATTATTCTATGTATTTAATACATTATAGATGCTTCCGGTTGCTATCAACAATCAGTACAGCCACATTGTAGCCAGGGGCGGAGGTATGTTGAAGCATACCTAGGCTATAGTCCGGGTGACCATTTGAAAAATTCAGTCAGATTATATAGTAGTCCACTTCTTGTTTCATATATGCATATGCCCAAACAACTAAAATATGTAAATATAAATATTTAATTACCATCTAATTAACTTTTGAATAATTTATTTGAGACCTGTAAGAATTAAAAGTTAAATATTTGAATACTGCCTTTCTCTTTTGGAAAAAAAAAATTTGTAAGAAATCTTTTTCTTGAAAAATACATTGTGAAAAAGAAAACTTTTTATTAATTCTGTAAGTATATTTTTGTGTTAATATTCTATATATATCTTATCAGTTAAAATTGATATTATTTTGATGATCTACAAATAAACATCAGTTAAAATTGATATTATTTGATCATTTACAAATAAACATTCATATTGAATTTTAAAAATATTTAAATTTTTTATTGCTATTTATTTCATATCATTACCAAATACAAAAATTATTTGAACATAAAAAAGTTATCTTAGGACTAAATTAATAAATATTATTTCAGCATATACCTATTAATATTATTATTTATCCATTGAAATTTACATTTTTAGAATTTACTTATTAATTTTTCCTTTTTCACATTTAGTACTTGGTTAATTTTTTTGTGTTCTTTCATTTGCGCATTAAGGGCAGTTT